CTGTGCTCAGGCGAATAGCAGTATACCTTAGAAAAATAATTTCCATAATATCCATATAAAAAACACAGTCATTTTTCAGTCTTTCACAACAGATCCAATGACTTCTATTTTTTTTTCCCTCAGAATGAGAAAACTCTTTCATGTCCAGTTTGAAACCAAGTTTCACTGACTTAGTTTGTCCTCTATTATAATTCTCTGCAGTTTTCCCCTTTCCTGGCCAAAGTTTGTGTTACCAAAGGTGCTCTGGCTGAGAAGCATGACTGGGTGACAGCAGTGCCCTTTCGAGGTGTCTAGCCTGTCTGATATCCATTCAGAGTGACTAAGAACAGTTTGAGGTCTTTTTATGCAAGAACCTCGACATGAAAGTTATATGTGTAGACTGCTTCAAGAGCAATGATGAAATTCCCGAAGGTTCTTAATTACCTGCAAAATTCCAACCTTTCTTATTAAAATTGATGCAGACACGTAGTTGTATAGTGGTTCAAATAAGTAAATTGCTTCGTGTCCATATATGTGCTCACCTGGGCTGTGACAGCTTTAGTTTGGAGAAGGCAAGTGGGTAGGAGTGAGAAAGGCTGATTACTCTTTTATAATTTTCCTTGTTTTGAGTCAGTTTGTGGTAACAGTGTGATTTGAGGGTGCAGTTTTACCCTCCTGCATGTGCAGGCTGAAGTACAGCGAGAACTTCCTTTCACGAGCACTTGCTGTAATCTCATTCCAGCTCTAGCTTAACAGTCTGTATTGGGCAAAAGGGAATGTGAAAAAAGAGCAGTAGGAAAAAGTTAAAAGAGTCTCTGTTACCAGCCACCTGCATCAGATTCTTGTTGTGCTGTAATGTGGGAAACTCAAACTTCTGTGGCTTTTTTGGGCTGTTTTCACTCAGCGACTACTCAACGTAGCCTTGTGCTCTGCTTCCATTATGAACTCCTTCCTGCATGACATTAGTGAGAAATTAGAGACATTTTTTTTAATATTGCATATTTGAGAATATCAAGAAATATCAGATATCTTCTGAAATCTTCATCTCTGAGATCAAAAACCTTCCCTACACATGATCTCTCTCAGTGTACTGACTTCTGTATGCGTTTTGTGCATCTTTAAAGCTAACTTATAGTGCTGAGACTGAATCTGAAGGCGATTGTGGTGAAAATTTGGGGTCACCAACTGCTAGTATTAAAATGTCATTGATTTTGTTGAAGAAGATGGAATTATTTAGTGTCTTAGATTACTTTAAGACTTGTATTTCTCATTTAGAAGTTCTAGAGCTACCTCCACTTGCTCTTTGGAAATTATCCCTTTAAATAACCAGGTAGGTCTTCTAAAAACACATGGATTTGAGCAAAACAAGAGCCTGCCCTGTCTTTACTTAGTACAACCAGGCTTAAACAGCTTCAATATTAAAGTTTCTCTCACCTGTTAATTCAAAGAGATGAACCAGATGCTCGCATTACACTAGTGAATTCTCCTTTCCAGGCATTATAATCTAATTTCTGAAATCCAGTGGCTCCCTTATACTAAATAGGATAAATTTGCTATATTTGGATTACATTATAAACGGTAACTTATCAATGGAAACAGTCATTAAAAAAAGCTTATGTGCAGATAGTATTTTGCAGAGTAAAGGAATGAGTCTGTAATGAGTTCTTCATTATGTAAGAGTGTGAGTGTTCGTTTTGTGTATAGGAAACATAAAGACAGATGCAAGGATATTAAATTCATAAACTCACCAAAGAAAAAAATTGGTTTCATGCTACCAGAGAAACAAATCTGTCCTGTGAGTCTCCCCGTCCCTGGGGAAGCTGCTGAGAATCTGTTGTTGAAAACTCTTCAACATTTTTGTTGCCTTTCTGCTTAAATTAAATGCTTTGGTTTCATAGTAGCCACTTAGAATATTCCTATGTGTACATCACTTATAGACAAGCTATATCATTACTGGAAACAAATGGTTTTGAACTTGTCCTTCTAGATTTTTTGGACTTGTCCTTATACACTTTTTTGGGGTTTCAGTCATAGTGATTATCAAATATAGGAATCCTTTTGGTCTTCCAACTCCTTTTAAATCTAGCTTGCCTCCTAATTTGTCTGGTATATATGTTTTTTTCTTATTTTCTATATTATATAAGGAACTGTAAGACAATAGCCAGGATCAGTTGTCCCGGCCTCTATATAAATGTCAGAAGAAATAGTGCAGGCCCAGATCTCTGCAAAATAAATAGGTAGGACAGCAGCAAGGCAAGTGGTAATAAACTGGTTAATGGAACATATGGACTAATTGTCCCATCATCCCACAAATGTCCTATTATGCTACTTCCATGCTGAGGTGCTTTATTCTGCTGCCTAATGACGTGTGCCTAAGTAGACTCCGGTCTATGATTATGAAATTCCTTACACTTTATTTGCTTCCTTTTTTAGTAGTCTTCTTTATTTGAAGTTTAACTTCCCAATACTAGTTTAGGTGGTTCATCGTCAGCGGGAAGGAACTCTTACTTGGCCGTTGACTATTATTAAATATTGTTATTATCTTCCTCAGATGAGATGAAGTCTTGACTAGGTGCTAATTCCACTGCACGCCGTGAGTAAATAATAATGAGGAAAAAAAAATAGCAGTTTAACTGAGCCAGAAATTACAGCATTAGCATACAATGCAAGTAGGCTACAAGTTTTATGTGTTTTTTTTTTTAATTTTATTTTACTTGATAGGAGACAGGCATGTCCCTATTCAGTAGGCATAGTCCAACCCTGGTCTTGAACTGGTTTGGTCCTTTTTCTGTGGCTGAAAGGACTTCAAAACTGTTGTAATATTATTAAAATCTATTGCCTAGCAATAAGCTGAAATTTTAATCAAGCACTGAAGTTGGGGCTTTTTTTTTTTTTTTTTGTGACAAATTAAAAGGGTTGAGTGAGCATTTAGTGTTTAAGAATGATACTTTATGCCAAAAATTGCATAATATTGAAACATCCTGGCTGGGAGCTTTGCTTGTTGTATCATACACTGCAAGCACTCAGGTAAGAAAGAAATTGCTGGAGTATGTGGATAGTTTTAATATTAACTATTTTTTTCATTTTTAGAAGAGAGCAATAGGTGAGTTGATGTGGCTACTTGATAATAAGCAATAATTTCTGCTGCAAAGGAAAAAGTTAATTAAAAACCATAGTGTTTTGCATCTTGTATAACATTACATTATCAATTACCTGTAGAGTGCCTTAGGATACAAAGGACATTTAGGATTTTTTGGCTTCAGTGAAAAGCTTGTTCAGAAGTTCCCTAGCTACAGATTTATGAAAAAAAAAGCACATATTTTTGTCCACTGGATCAGTGCAGCAGTCGTTGTTCAAAACAACATTGAAGCCAGTGGAGCCAAGAAGTGTTGGATGAAAAGGACAGGGGCAGAGTTTTACGGGAGCTTGTCCTTTGGGTGCTGCTTCATGAACCAACAACTTTTAGCTGCGTTAGTAAAATTTTCCTCATTCACGTATGAAATTATGTGGGGTTCCTCAGTGTGGTGTGCTATGCAAGTGGCTAATGAAGTTAAATTGACAATTTATTTAACATTTGAGAGAAGGGAGGAAGTACCTGCAGAGATTTTGCTTTGTTGCAACAGAAAGGACTGGGATGCTGGAGAAGCAGGATGCTTTTTTTTTTAATTTTTCCAGCTACTGTGGAAAAAGTGTTGGATATGTGCTGTTTCCATGGAAATACACTGTGTGGATTGCAGAAATTAGAAAGATTTCTGGACAGAACAGAAAGACAATCTTGTTTTTTTTTTTTTTTTTTAATAATAAAAGCCTGTTCAAGCCGTCCGTTTGACAGGACGGATGATGAGAGCAAAGCTACAATGAAGGAATTGACTTCAAAGCCCTGAACTTCATGAAAGAAAACAAATTGTATTGGCTCTATGAAAACTTACGCGGTATAAATATGGAATAATTGAAAGCTTCTGGTGAGCTGCTTCACCAAGGATCTCATAACTTCTCAGTTACCTTGTTTCTTCTGTAATTGCTCGATTCTGCAAGCCACAGTTGCCATTAGAAGAATATGTTTCCCAGTCTGTGCTTGGCTGTTCCAATTTAATGTGCTGCAGAAGAGATGGATGATATCTGATGTTTTATTGTCTATCAAGGAAGCGAAAAGGCTTAATAATCACCGATAGCAGAACATTAATTATTTTTATCCTATGGTAGAAGAGGCTTCTTGCAAAGTCGGTTGCCAAGACGTGAATGATTCCAAGTACAACAAAGCTCTTGGTCCTGCACTTTGTGCTGAAAGAAGTGTTTGAGCGCCCGTATCTTCAAGCAAAAAGTTTCAAATCCAGCATTGATTGCATTTGACTTTAAAACGAAAGAATAGGATGAATGGAAAATGAAAATAGGATGGGTTTTTAGAAGATAATGTTATTATTTTTAATAATATTAAAGCCATTAACTATATGTCCAATAAATTCAAATTTATTTGGACTTTTAATTGTCTCAAATCTGTGGTGTGTCCGTGTCTGTGATTCTGTCTTTCATGGACTCTGGAAGGATGATTGACCTTTTAGAGAGCCCTAAATGCTCTGGGTTGGTTGAGCAGATGCTATTGATGACGTTTTGTGATGAAAATATGTAAGAAATGTTTTGTTAAAGATATTAAGCAGTTGATGTGGTGCCTGTCGTTGCAAAGCACAAACTTGTATCCTTCTCTACTCTGCTGCAATATTCTAAATACTAAAAGCAATTTTGAATTATGGATTCTTTGAAACATCTGTTGTGATATTTCACATGTATTTTCTTCTTTTCCTGTGAACTTCATCAAGTTTTAGCTATATTTTTGTTTTGCCAGTCTTCTGGAGCAGAGTATAGCAGTATAATTAATAATTATTTTGTAAATAATTTTTATTTTGAACGCTAATATTTCATTTTGCGTATTCTCCCTCTCTTTGACAAAACAAGTAAAGATTTATTACAATAAAACACAATATCTGAAAGAAAAAGTAAAGTAATTTCATTTCTTCTTTTTCTAGATGGAATCAGCGTTAGTGGACTTTCCAGTCCTTTCCGACAGGTTGTCAAACCACGAGTGGAGACTAAACCCCTCAATCCACCAGAAGGCAGCAAAGCTGGCGACTTCAGTCACGTGAAGGTAAGTGGCACCAAAACAAAGAAAAATTCGGCTCTTCACTCTGCTGCACTATGGTTAGTTTTATGATTTAAAAAACAAAAGATCCTTTTCCTCGTATTTCCTTTCTTGTTTTCTTAAGTAGCTTGATATCCTGGGTTTGGATGTTAGAACCAACAAGAAAGTAACCCAAGAGCGGATGTGCTGGTTATAGGTTGGGTCTCGCCTCGTGCTCTTTTCTTAATACAAAATCCTGTGTAGGGAAGTGCTTCTTTAGGAGCCTTTGGCCTAACTCCTAAGGGAGTTACACCTTGCAAACATAGCAGGGGACTTAATCTTACATAGTTTTGGTCAATGTTTTACATACTTTTCAATATTTAACACATTTCCTTTATGGAAAGGGTCTTCTGCAGTAATAGGTTGCAACAGAATTTAACTTGAGTATCATATTGCACACTGCAATATTTGGCTCAGTGTATTTTTGGCAGAGACTCAAACAGTAGCTTTGTTTCCTTTGCCGTATCTCACTTTGCATCTGAACTTGCTTTCTTTGCTGTAAGGTTGTTTACAACTCTGATTGTTTTATAAATAAAACATGTTTTATTTATAAATATGTTTCTTTTTGGGCGGTTAGTACTGGTAACTCATCATTGCTCATTTCTGCGCTACAAAATGATAGCAATAGCATTTCAGAGATAAACTACTAGCAAAGCTTTTTTAGGTGTTTTATGGCATGGCAAAGTATTTCCAATTTCTTATCAGTATGAATTGGCATGATTGAGAAAAAAGATCTGGCATGCACACAGTAAGGCCAGCATTGATTTTAAATTAAATTTAGAACGATATGGAAGCAAGAACTTCTGTCCTATTGAAAACTTTTGATTTGGGGAAGCAAGGGGAATATTTTATTGAAAGTAGAATAAAATTCCAGGAACGTAGACTCTCAGTGCACCAAGTACATGAAGAAAAGAAGTCCTTTTGAGCAGTTTTTCCTTGTCAGCCAGTTGCCCTGGCAACCACAAAAATACAAGCTCCCAGTAATCTGTGTGATGGTGTTACAAGGGTGTTGGAGAGCTGTAGAGCAAGAACCTGTGTTCTCAGTGGTGTACAAAGAAGCTGCCTCATGGAACGTGTACTTGGTTCTCTTGTTAGGTTTGGAGGATGCACTTTGATTTAATAATTGGTATTTTGTGGGTGGCTACATTTTAATTTAATTAATTGATATTTTGTGGTTGAAGCACCATGCAGATGGTCAAAAACATGTTCGATGGAGAGCACCTGTGTATTGAGCCTGATTATATGACTGTTATTCACCTCCCATAACTTGAAGTTAGCACTTTATTGTATTAGACATATAGCCTAAAATTGACTTAATCACCAATACTGCATTTTTGGTGAAGTGTGTTTGGTAGAGAAAACCTGTAGAGAATCCATAGAAGAAACATGCTCAAGCATTCAACAGGGTGAAGCTCTGGAGGAAGCCTACAAAATTATGTTTCTAGTTAATTTATAGTAAGATAAGATCATATATTTACATAGTATATTTACAAACAAAATATATTTACATATAATATTTACACATATTTACATATGAAGTTCATCAGATGCAAGTATGAGTTAGTTTCTTCCCAGATCTGTAAACTTTGCTTGTTAGGGATGAAGCAAGAGGAAAGCCCAATGAGGGGCTCTTCTCCTACAGGACAACTTACTGTCACAGCTAATATCCTTTTAATAAATCTCCATTTTTTAAAACCTCAGTTTTTGTATTTACCACATTGCTGTATTTGTAAATAACAGTCACATCCCAGTTTGTAGTAGTTAAACTACTATGAATCAATGCTTTGATCTGGCCGAATTAAAAACAATGGCAAATTTCAGACCTACTTAGAGCGTCTCAGAAGTACTTTCAGACCAACCAGTCTGTGTGCATAATAAAGTCTACATCTATGTGGACATACACAAGCCTGAAAGATGAGAATAAACCACATGTTATAATTCAATGCACTTGTCTTTAGAGTACTGCATTACATTTGACTTGTTGCTGTTCTGTGATCAGGTATTAAATTCAGCTTTTTCTTGAGCTGTCTACGGCTTCTGCTTATTACTGTGTATTTACTTGTGCCTACTTATCGTGACAGGGCTCTTCAGTCTCCTAGAAAAACACATGACAAGAACCAGCAGCTTAAAATAAAAGCCAGACAAATTCCAATGAAAGAATCAGGCAGTTATTGTGAATAATTGAGTCAATTAGTCATTAAAGATTCAATCAATATTCTGGTCTAGTTTTGGATGGTCTGGTCTAGTCTGGTCTGGCTGGATTCTGGCAGATTTGCTGGGTTTTCAGTTTTGATTCACTTGAATCCATACCACATATCTATCAGAACATAGGACTGTTGGTAAATGGAAAGGCTTTTACAAAGAAAGAACGTTGCTGTCAGAAATGTAGCCATCTGGGATATACAGTAGAGATGATCCAACATTCCCTTTAACCCCGAATCTCCAAAATATTTAATATTTATGATTTTTTTTGAATGACCCAGAACCCTGTAGAAGATATTTCAGTTTCCTTCTGTTGCCACAGAACAACTTTGCACACGTGGGCTCTTGCCTGCATCCTGTGCCACCACCAATGCCCTTTGGTGATAGCTTGAGTACATTTTAAGGTTTGCCTCGTAATAGTCAAGTTAATTAAAGTGTTTTGACAAGGACTAATGCAGGAAGCAAGTGGGAGTTTGTAAGTTAAGAAACAAGACAGACCTTAAACATTTGCTGTGAAACCTTAAACATGTGAAAGATTAAACATGCTGTGAAAATGCTCTGCTGTCGTTTGTGCTCTAGCAATAGGTGCCTGTTGGTGAATTTTCAGGGTAAGTAGTTATTTTTTAATCCTGTATGTGCATAGGCTAGTTCATTTGAAAGCAAATGAATCTTTGCAAATGAAAATTGCTGTAAATTAGTGTTGCTCCTTTTACTGTTCCTGAAATGCCCCTGTTTAAGTACTTATAACATTGATGCTTAAGTCGTTCTTCCCAATTCGTTTTACTTAGAATTTTTGTGCTTCAAAGTGCCAGCATACTGAATATTGGCAGTATTTTGCGCTTGACCTTCCTTCAGTCTATGATTTCATTTTTGCCACGGGCTATCTGCTAATAAACCAGTCACTGGCTTCTGAGAACGACTGTTGGTATAATGAGCTCATAAATTAAGTATAAAAAATGCTTTATAGCCTCCTGATAATGCTTGCTTACCCCCTCAAGCTGAAAAGAATATCACAGTGTAATATTATGTTTGGATACACTCTTCTCCACTGTTCACTTCTGAGTGTGATAAGTGTTGTCTTAAAAACCATAGTCATCATTAGGTACATGAATGTTACAGGGTGAGATACTCCATGCATAGCTCTGCATTGCTGTGTTATGCTAGTACACAAAACAACTTATTTCAGGTCTGACTTTGTTACTTTTTGAGTAACACTAGATCATGTTTAAATACTCCATTCTTCTGTGCCTGAATGCAAAAGCTGCAGCTGAAGTTAAACAAGTATCATCATCTCTCTAAATACTCATTGTCTGCCAAGATGTCTTGGTTCAACAAAGTGTTCGTGGTTTCTTTCATATAAATCCTCTGGGAGTAGGAAATGCTGCATGGCCCTAACCTAGCAAAAGTAAAATTCAAAAACTGAGATGAGGATCCTTACTTGAATGGATATATTGAAAGTTTATTGGGGATATTTTTTTCCTCTTGATTTAAGATTTTAACCGTTGCTGATCATTAATGACCGGTTGCATCGCAGACTGTGGGGTTGTCTATAATTTAAAAAGGTCTCTGCTGCCGAATACTTGTTTTCAGACCTGTATGTTGTGGAGAATTTGCCTCTGTCTGCTATACATGAGCTGGAATTCAAAGGGTTAAAGTGAATAAAAAAGGCCATAAGTAATCTAGAAGAACTACTGCATTTCTATAGGAATGTATACGTGCTATATTGGAAGTGTGAGAATAGAATGTAGAGCCACATAAGCACTGTTTGTGATGTATCTTTTCTAATGCAGTTGATAGTTTATTAAAATGAGATGTCAGACTTATTTGGATATTGTCCATGCAGCCTTCAGGCTATGCTCTCTTAGTGGGATGCTGTTAATTGGGACACATTTTATTTTAAGCTCAAAATGTAAGCCTTACCTTTATTCTTCTATATATAGACCTTTGCATAGAAAATTTTTAAAGATTCTAGATCCTACTGGAATTACTGGGAGACTTTTTAAATTTGGATTTATTTATGTGTTTATCTTAATGTGAGTTTAGGAGGAAGGTCTTGAGCATGAAAGCTTGACCCATGTTAGATTTTCTACTGTGCCTGGAAATGCCTTGGCCCTGAGTTGCCTTTTCCATTGTTTTCTTCATGCCAAGGTTGTTTGTGTAGCAGGACCATTCATATAATATAAAAAGCATGTCATCCTACACATCATACGGGGTGTAAAATGCCTTTGTAAATTCATGCTTGCTAAGGAAGAGGCTATCACAGTACCATAGTTTGGTTTAAAATGCTTTTTTCTTCGAATGATTCCTGGATCATTGCTCTCCATTATTACACACATTGGGTTTTACGAAAGAAAAAAGAAGGGGAGGAAGAGCCAACTCCGGGTCTTTATTTCACTAATAACCCATCAAGCCTATAAAAGAGACAATAATTATATAGAAATCCAAGTCGAGGTGCTTTCGCTTCCCAAGTTTGTTACTTCCAACATCATCTTTTTCTTTTTTTGACTGGCCAGTGTGATTTGTGAACTGTGGACCTGAAGACCACTCACATTTGCTGATCTCTGATGGGCAGGGAGCCAAGCCAAGGTTTGCCTTGTCAGCAAGGTGCTTTATATATGCTGCTCTCCTGGCCCAAAATAGCAATTTTTCCCATGATAAAGAGAATAATAAAAATGGGATTGCTAAAAAGCAGGAGATTGGAATTCTTGCTCATTAAATACACCAGGCAAAAATTTGTGTATGATCTGGATTTGTGTGAAAATCTG